GGCCCGGCTCCAGGAGCCGCGGGCAGTGGGTGTACTGGCCCAAAGGACAGCGCGGCACTCTGCTGGCACGGAGCGTTCGATCGTGCGTGGGAAACGAAAAACAGCCGGGCGGAGTTTAGGACAGTCAGCTCCGAGTGCTTACAGAAAGTGCAGAGTAACGTGCACCTGGGGACTTCAAGGGTAACATCGCCTTATATAAACAGCCCCTCCGGCTCCTTGCTAGAATTAGTTAGGCTGGCTAATACAAAAAAATCCGAAGAATGGCTTGTATTACAAAAACAGGTCGGTACAAGCTAAATGAGAGCAATCCTGAAAGCGTTTCTGAAGGCTTGTACTTCAGTTTCTCCATCATGACTTGCCTAGAAACAATGCACGGGGAAACCCAGCCAAGCTTTTCACCGCCTCCCGCATTTCTACCAGTGTCCCAAACTGTTGTGAGATCCAAACGCAGGAGCAGGCACACGTGCATTACCCTCCCGAACGTCTTCAGTCATTGTCTGGTGTGCAGGTTTGCTCTTCTCCCTCAGCCTTACTTGAACTCCTGAATAGCACTAATTACTAGAAGACCTGAAAAGTATGGACATCATTATTGTTACCCGATTTTACAGAAGGGAAGTACATGAAAATTGAATGACCTGCTCCGTCTTGCTAGGCAGAACAATAGCAGCAGATCCAGCCCTAAATCAAGATCCTGTGTCTAAGCAACACGAATTCAAACTCAGAATGGTTCATGAATTTACATGTCAGCCTTGTATGTCTTAGTCCCTTTCTCTTTACAGCAGACAATGGGTGGAAACAGACTTGCCCAGCTCATCCAGTGAGTGTCTGGACTGGCTCAGGGGGCAGGATGTGGACAGATTGCCTGGGTAGCACTGAGCAGTGCTGTTGCCTATTGCTTTCTGCACTGTTCTCTCTGCTGATTTGTTTTCTGTTATAAAGTCATTGACTTTGAATTCTGAATTGCATTTTTCCACCATCCACTCAAAACTGAGCTGTCAAAAGAGAGAAGGTAAGTGTCCTGCTTCTCCCAGTGCTTCCTAGGGAGGGCTGGGGGAATCTGTTGGTGTTATAAACATTAGCATTCCCTGTTTGTGGAACTGTATAGATTTGTACTTTCCCCTGCCCATCTCTAAACTGTTTTCCCTTTATTGCTGTTCTGTGGTGCTTCTGTATAAAAATCACAAAGCACTTTACAATCACCAAACTGTTGCCAACTGAGTTTTTTTAGAATATGACTGTTACAATTTTAGTAGAGGTTTATTGGTGGAATATTTCTTTCTGTTTTGTGAGTGTGTGGATTTGATCATGCTTAGTACACAACCAGTTTAATAGGTTCCTGAGTATGTAGGAAGATCCTCTCCCTTATGCATGAATAGAATCATTCTTTGGTTAATGCACCTACAAAAGGATGGGCAAGAACATCAGACTGACTGAGAGTGCTGAGACACTGGCTGTTAATTCCCTTCCTTTATGAGAGTCTTTCTCAGCAAAATTAAAGACAGAAACACTTAAAAAATAACACCATTGTATTAAAGTGACTATTAATAAGTCAGTGAAAGACAGATTCAGCTTTGGAAGTACCTTTAACCTCCTTATTTTGAATTGGTTGTCTAGAAACTTAGTACCAAGAATTATGAGTAACCACCTAATTAAGCCAAAGTATGCTGGACCCAATGAATGGATAGCAAAAGGCCCTAAACAAACAACAAACCAAACCAAAACCCGAACAATCCCCCAAAATCCTCAGACTGGCCAAGTGATTTGCCTCTACTTATGAGATGCCTGTGTTAGACCTGATATGCCAAGTCAGGTCCCTGTAGTCCTAGACCTGTGGTCTTGGTGGCCACCCCTGCACTTCTTACTCTGTAATAATGCTAGAATAGGTCTTGCTTACTGCAGGTATTGGTATGTTTCTAATTTCACCTCATTTTTTAAATCACTAATAGTTCAGAAGAAGCTTGGCAAGAACAGCTACAGTTTAAAGAATTATGTGTATACTGAAAATACTGCACCTGATCATTTGAGGAGATTTACCTCCAAAGATTTATAGATGAGGGATAGAGACTTGTATCTAGGTTAATGTTCTCTAGGAGTGCTCATTTCTCCAAATTGTTTAGAGAACAATTCTTCTGACCTATTTGAGATATGTTTCAGAGTTTATGATGTAATTTATCTGAGAAGTGCTTGCTTTCATCTTTCCCATAGGTGGGATGTGGATGTGACATGCGCAGCTGTACCTGTCTGTAGTGGAGCTCTGAAGTTAGGCTAATGAATTCTACCCTTTCTGTCTACTTGACAGGTTTAGGTCTTCAAAAGCATTTCATATAAAGAAAATAGTATGGTGTTCTGATTTCCTACAGGAAAGATTCTTGAACAAATACACCGATACTGTAGAAAATTAATGTCTCAAGGGCCACAGTTGTACTTTCACTTCCTTAACTGGTTTGGATGAGAAGTGTGTTTTGTGAGTAGTGATATCCAAAAAATGTTTTGGAGTCTTCACTCCCTGAGGATAGATTGAACTGACATATGCAGTACAGTCTAAAAGCAATAATCTACTGGCCCCCCTTGCTGATATTTAGGGTTCCTCCCACTTCTGTCTGCGATGAAAACCCTCGGAATGCAAGGGGGTGGTGGCTGCTGCCTAGCTAGCATGGCTGAGATGTCACAGCTCCTGTTACAAAGGCTTCTCCCACTCAGAGCTATGCTGACTAAAGCCTCAGCAAGTAAGAGCACCGAGAGCAAGTGCCAAAGCAGGACTGCACAGGATTTTAAGATTCTGTATCCTCCAAGAATTGTCTGAACAAGACAAGGCCACATATGAGATACTTGAACAGTCATTTAAAGGGATACTGCTGAAAATTGCCCTGCTGTTTGAAGACACCTGCTCTGTCTTCACAAGTTACACAAAAGATTATTATCACAGAAAGAGATGAGATGATAGGGAAAAACATTATCCCTTTCTCTTCTCTCACCACTTATCCACAGACTTACTAGCACTTTAAACACTCAGTTGTGCTGCTTCACTTAAAAGATAGCAATTTGAATTTTGTCTCTATGAAGCTTGAGAGAAAAACTTTACTTTCTATAGGAGATGATCATAAAACATTACTTGGCAGGAAGTACCTGGAGTTATTCAGGATTTGAAGGCTACATTTGAAATCAAAAGTCATTTTAGAAAAAAATAATGGGCTTCTTTGAAGTATATTTAAAAAAATTACTACAGATTTTGTGAGTTCACCTGCCATTATAAGGTCTCTAAACTTCCCTGGGCTTCCACTCCTCCTGCCCTATCAAAAGACAGCATAGCCATCCTTACACTGGATATGCATTTTGACATCCATACACCAAATGGTGCATGAAGAGTAGTAGTGAAACTGGAGATACTGAAGTTCAGCATTGCAAATCACAGTGCGGATGCAAAGCTATAATTGTGATTTCAGAAAGAATTTATGAAACTCTTCTACCTGAATATTGTCATCGTAGAAAATAATCACAGTAAGCTAAAGCCCCAAGGCAATGAATATTCTCTTGCACATGGAAAAGGCTATGCAGTGGTGTCGAAAAACCTGGATGTCTTCTTAGTGTTGAGTCAAAGCTGGCTCAGGTTCTCAGGTGGAGGCATTCCAATGTGCTTCATAGTGACAGTGATACTTGGTGAATGATGTGACTTTTCAGTATGCCTGGGAAATTGGCAGTGTGCAGCTCTGTGTTAGCCAGTGTAAGTAAATACCCACTGAGTCAGTATTAACTGATGCAAGCTCTTTTTTCATCTTGGGTATCCTCCTGGAAGATGTCATTCCAGTAAAGCTAGAAAGCTTTCATTGACTTTCAAGTGCCAGAATTCACTGTGAAAGCATAAACCCCTAAAGCTCTTCCTTTTCTGAAAAATGAAGCAGCCTCCTACCTGAAGTGAATAGACTTTCCTTTGCCTTCCTGACCATTCGTACGCTGACTCATTTTATCCCTCTCAGTTTTATAAATGGAGTTGTCTTTCTGAAGGATGACCATTTGTGGTTCTATGCCTATTCTAGTCCTTAGGTCCAGATCCACGAGGGGACTTGTGTTTTGCCATGTCTTTAGGTTAGGTGCCCAGCTCCAGCATCAGAGATGACAATTCAGTTAAGTTTACTTCAGCTCTCTTCCTTTACCATGTGGTATCCCAAAAGGCATCCACTGTAGAGAAATGATGCACAGTATTACAGTGGAAGGGAGAAGTGCTTGAAGGAGCCCAGAGAGACAGAAATTCAGGATTTCTCTTTGGTAGGAGACTGCCCTTTTTGCTGGAATACACTCCTGTACTCTCCTGCCCGTACTTTTTGGTGTGCCTGTGGGAGGAGTGGGGAATGGCAAAAGACATTCTAAGGCAATTTTCCCACTTCCTGGCAGTGAGTCTAACTATTACATATAAAGCATGAAGAACTAGATCATCTCCTTTGCTGACAGTTTAGTTTGATTCAGAAATAATCTAAATGCTGTGCATTGTGCTGACCTTGGGATAAAGATGCTTACCGGATCAAGGTCCTCAGGGATTTAGGTGAGAGCATGTCGAACTAACAAATCTGAAACAGGTGGAAGAAATGAAAATGTTTCAGCACAGATCAGACACTGGTGCTCATTTGCTTGCATAGGAGCAGAAATTAGGAAGATGAGAAGTACCTAGTGTATATCTTGTGAATCTGTAAACGTTAGATATCTAAATTCTACAAAAGTGAAAATTAATTGTATAAAATCTTTTTAGTGTGGGTGTCACTATATCTCTTCTCCTTATAACAGTGAAATAATGTAGTAAGATTCTAGTCTCATGAAATATGAGCCAATTGCTTCAGAGAGGTAAGGCTTTACTTAATTGGATTTCTTACTGAACAAGGTACAGCACTCCACAGGTAAGATGATGAAATTTCACTTTGTGGTTAAACATTTGCCCTGGTTCTGATTTGTGGTGAAGCTGTGGGACTTCCTGCCTCAGGACTTTCTGCGTGCAAAAGACTTTACAGAGGTTTAAAAGGCAAGTGGATAAACTAACTGAGGAAAAAAAAATCCATGGAACATTATTAAATACACAGGCAGCACTTCTGGTGCAGGAGAATCAGAATATCTGTGTCTGTCTTTTCCCTTCCCCCAGTCACTACTTTCTTGCCCTGTTTTATTACTTATTCTGAGTCACCTGATGCTGGTTGTTTAAGAAAGAAAGGATTCTAGATGGATCCTTAGACTCATCCTCTGCAACAGTTTGTACATCCCTGGGCAAGGGAAGTTTCAGACTGTCAGCCAAGTGCAGCAGCAGCAGCAGCACAAACAGTTTCAGTGTAAGTATGCTTACAGCAATTTCCCTTTGGTTTAACTCTATTGACTTCAAGGAATCTATTCTTGATATGCCCTAGTGTGAGATCCCATTAAGGTATGCTTACTTCCTTCAGGAACAATGCAGTCTACCAGAGGAGTCAAAGGAGATAGAGAAAATGACTATTTCCATAGGAAAACTGTTTAGAAAGTTTTAACTAGGACTGTGGCAGCCAGGGGATTGTTTCTTTGGAGTTAAAGTCAAGGAAACTGACTTACATAAACATTCTAACAGTTCAGGGGCAATTCATTCTGCATTACTCTTTCTCAGACTGGTTGGTTCCTATACTGTGAAATAAGCATTTTTTAAAATTGAGCAATTTCAAAAGAAATCAATACAATAGATGCTTATGTCAGTGCTAACAAAGTCTCATTCAACTACAGTTTACTCAATCTGCTGATTACAAATGGCTTCAAATAAAATTTCTAAGAAGTACGAACATTATAAATGTGTCAGTATTTCCATAACAGTTATCACATAATTTTTGAAGATCTGTTGTTCCATCAGCACTTGATATAGCTTTAAACTGCAGGACTTTGACTGACTATATTTTTGCAATCCTACTGCAGAGAGACACCGCATCTTAAAAACTCTTTTTAAACACTGCTTGCTTGCCTGTTTTTCCCCCATGAATAAACTTTCCTCCCCTTTTTTCCCCTTTTTATTTTATGAATAAAAATTTAACAGCTGAATGTACTTTTCTCTGCTTATATCACATATTGATTATTTGGCTCAATCTATTCTAAGCATTAACAATCATGATTTTTTTCTGTTACGAATGCCACTATCAATCTTTAATCCTTATGCAATAGAATAAACTTGTCTTCTAAGCATAAAAGATATATATATATTTATAGTCACTTAATAATGAGTTTTAACATTTTGCACAAATCTGCCTGTTGATTGAGTTCTACTCAGAGTAGTTTTAGAGAAGCTGTAGTTTAAAATGCCTTTAAAAATTCACCAGATAACTGGACTGTAAGTCATACCACAGGCCAACAGTCGGTGTCCTATTGTGCTAAATGCTTTGAAAACAAGTAGAAATTAAAGTTCTCTGAGCCAAACAATTTATGTTTGAAAGAGATGATACCCATCAGTAAGTGTTCCAAGAACAGATTGCCGAGTATTAACAACTGTTGCCAACCAATACATTAAGTGACTTGGTGCTGCGCCCGAAGACTGGAAACACTGTGTTCAGTGCTCCCTCCCTTCATGGGATTGGCCATTATGTTGGGAAAGGATATCAGTCCTTGCTATGAATCAGGCTTGTCTGTCCCCTGAGTAGGGAACATCTACACACTGGGGGATCCAGCACAGCTAAGAGGTGTGATACTTAGGGGAAACAGTCACCTTGCTTTCACTCTGTTGCTGCACAACTTCCTGTGGACTGGAGTGGAATCTAAAGCTGTGTTCCTGCATCCATCTTTCTGGAAAGGAGAAGAATGTTTGCTTTTTGCTTAGATCTTGAAAGTAACTGAAAGTAAATGAAATGTTTGAAATTCAGGAAAAGAAACATTGAGCAACTTAGGTTGCAAGGGCCTTCAAGTCACATAGTCCAACTCCTGCTCAAAGCAGCTACCACTAGGCCAGTTTTAAATATGCCCAAGGATGGATATTCCACATCCCCTCTAAGAAACATCTTCCAGTATTTGGCCAAGCTCATGGTGGAAAAATTCCTTGTATCTGGATTTTCACATATTGCAACTGGACACATTGCCTCTCACCATTACCACTCTGCACCGATCCAAGATCTCTGTAGGATTCCTTTAGGTACTTGCAGAAATGGGCGAGTACAGGCAAGAATGACAGTTTGGCACTTCAAAGAATTGTGCTGGAATAGAACCAAATAACAGCATAGAACATCTTGGATGATTTGTTTGCTTTCCACACTGATTCCAAAGGTTCACAGAAGTACCTAAATATCTGTATGGCCACTCCTATGAAAACCATGGAGCAAAAGGAAGTGCTTTATAATTTTCAGTCTGGCCTTATGCATAACAAGAATAACCCAATCAAAACATCATAGGTGGCAGAAACATGTTCAAACCACTCAGTAATTGATCTCTCTAATATAACCACTGAAGGCTGTAGATTAAAACTGCCCCTGGGGGATTCTGATAAAAATGTATAGATTGGGATTGGGTATGGAATGTGAAGGAGACTGCTAAAACTGTGGGTGCTGCTGCAGTCTGTAGGGCAGCCCAATGATATTCATTGGCAAAAAGCTTTGAGGTACAGCAAAGGTTTCAATAGTCCTTGTAGCTGCTTGGCATCAGAAGGTACAAGAAATGGTTTACAGCCCCCTCCCTGCTCTGTTCTTGTTCTGTGGACTGCAAGAGTCAGAATGGTGTATTTCAAGAATAGGCCTCTGGGAAAGGAATCCACTTAATTTGCCTTCCCACGGAGATTTCACACAAACAGACATTAAGACTTGAAAGTTGTGTTATTTCAAATATAAAAAATTAAGGGAAAACATATCCCAGTTAGAGCTTACAGGGCACAGGTAGGAAATATCATGGCATTAGTATCCCTTGTGCAGATCAGATTTGATAGCTCTGGTGGAGCTGAAGTGCTCCATTGCTGTGCCAACAGAGAAACAACCATTTGGGACAAGTATAACAAGGAAATAAGATACTCTAACCAAGTGATCTCTTCAAAGCAACCCTATCAGAAAGATATTGGACCATGACTCCTATTTTTAGTGAGGAATCATATTTAAAGTCTAATGTTAATCTGTCCTCTTGGCCAGTTAATACCAAACATAATGCTAGATGTTTATATAAAAAAAACCCCACAACAACTGCAACAACATCTTTTGGTACTAAATCCCAGGCATTTAGTGCAACACATAAGCTTTAGACTTTCACTCTTAGCTGTACCACAAAGTGCCCTTACAGTGTTTGATGGGAACAAACCAAATTAATGGAGCATCACTGTATTTTAGGTTTGGGTAAGCTGCTGCCACTGGGCTTTGGAATGTCTGGGGACTTTTCTGCTTGTCTGTTGGTTAAAATCATAAGGGTTTTTTTGCCAAAGTGTCATTTGATCACAGAATAAACTGCTCTTTCCTTTTCAGAGCTGTAGCTGAACCACTGCTTGGAATATAAAATACTAGCATGTAGTTACTAATACACGTGATCTGAGAGAGTGGCACTGAATGTTGCTATAATAACTGCTGAAGGGTTTGTGAACTTTGGATATTTAGCTGCATTTGTTCGTTATGTCCAGCAATATTTCCACTCTCTTTACAATTAAAATATTCTGGAAAAAATACACATTAATCTTCAAGCTGTATGTGCTCAGAATATTTGCTTACATGCATTTATATACACATTTAAATATTTTTGCCTCAAACTGCCTTTTGAATTTTATGAATCATAAAAATATTATTCCCTAGTGATTCCTGTGAAAGTTCACTATCCCTTATTTGTTCCTCTTGCTGTAGCATAAGAAAATACCCCAGATCAATGTGTTTTGATCAATAAGTTATCTACTTCTGCTTCTGAATATATCCAGGAAGACAATTTGTTTGGCAATTACTTATTTTTTTTGCAAGTTGAGTGCTCTCAGAACCTGGCTGTGATTAAAGCTGTCTCTTGAGAACATCCAGGAGGGTTTTTAGCACAGTTCACTGATCAGAGAAAAATGGTGTCTCATGCTGAACAATGATAGTGAATTTGGGAATCAACTAAGAGTTTAGACATTATTTAGCCAATAATTATTAATTATTATTTTGTATCCTATCAGGTGGAAATCCTTGATTGGGAGACAAAGAAACAGCTATGCTTCCTAGATAAGGTAAAACAAAAATCTGTTTAAAAGGCTAGGTGACTTTTTAGAAATTATAATCTCTTCTTAAGTACACTTAGTGTTTATGAAGGGTATTTTGTCTGCTGATAGCCCTTCTTTGGCCCCTTGCAACGATTATGCAAACTTCTTACTGACTACTAAGTACTTCAACCCTTTTCCAGAAGAAGCTTTTGGGCAAAAAGCACAACTGCAGCTGCTTCACTATGATGGTGCCAGTTGTTTCTTACTCAAAAGTCATCAAATTGTCATTGCTATGGTAGTAACTCTTGATCACTGCTAAAGAAGCTGCCTCTGAGACAGGTGTCACAAATCGTCCTCCCTCTTTCCTGTCAGAAGTACTTTGAATCATCCATACCAATACTAGACATCTGTGAGAAAGATATTGTTACATTGTCTAAGTCACATTTCTATCTGACTTAATAGTCTTACACCTAGTAATTTTCTTTCAAAATATGCATCTTACATATGCAATATTTTTGTTGCCTAGGTGGAACCAAATGCCACAATTAGGGAGATCAGATTGATGTTCCATAAATTATGTGAGTATAACCTCTGCAGCAGCTCACAACACATCAGAATATCCAGTATATAAACAGGAAAAAACTGCACAATTTGAAACATGTGGTGTACACACACATAGTTCTGATAACCAACACAGGAATGTCATCACAGATTTCAGTATAATTATTTTATACTGTCTTAATATGCTTCTGTATTTCTTTCTGCTGCATAAATCATCACTGATACTAACACTGAATAAATATTCATAAAAATCTTTAACTAGAGCTTATGTTGTTGTATTGCATTCATTATAATAGTGGATGATCTAAACCAAACATTGTATATCACACAATTCTGTATGGTCTTACAGATCCTCGGTGGTATCCAGCAAGGCAGTCAATAAAACTTGATCCAAGTAAGTACTTGTGAGGACTAGAGTAACTAAACTCTGAGCAAGGCCCTGGCATGAAATGTGTACTTTTCATGGCTATTAGCTCTTAAGAATGAGTTTCCAGCTATATTAATTAGCAGTATGAAGGCTGAAAAGAATCCAGAACAAAAGTAATTATTTGGAAGTTCTGAACAGAGTTCCACCCATGTCCCTGCTCCTTGGTAATTAACTCAGGAGTTTGTCCATTGTTCCAATGCACTTTCTAACTACTGAGCACTTTCGCTTTCAAGACAGGCAGCACAGAACCTAGATATTAATTTCCCTTAGCTGCAGTGAAATCATCTCCATGGTAATGCTCAGCTGGGAGTACTAAAAAGGCCTATGAGTTTGAGCTATCAATTCACATAATCCTCTGCTCTCAGGCAGGAATTACAGTTCTTTTGAGGTAAGCTAATGCAAAACACATTGCCATGGATGTAGGAATTGCTGACAAAGCTGATGCCAGCTGGCTGACTTCATTAATACAGTTGTAGGTATTGTTACTAGAAGCCTCTCAGTACGTGGCCTGGGTGCACAAAAGAAAGTCTCATGGCCAAACTTTTAATTCACCTCAGCATTCAGTATAAAGTACAGCACTTTCTTCCTTTGCTTTCATTGGGCATAATTTCATTTAAACAGTCCCTTAAAATTATATTGGTGAAGATTAGTTCATTGTGTAAAATCTATCCCTGGAAAACAGATGCATGAGTATCTTATTTCCTTCTTCGAAGATCTACCTTGTCAGAATCCTCTGTGAACTTATGTTGTGAGATTTGCCATGAGAAAATGCTGTCCTTCCGGAGATTCCAAATCCAGGCAGTAAAACCTTGAGTGCTAGCTCAAGTCCTGTGGAATACCTCCTAGCTGGTTGGTTGGGAAAAAAGTAAGCAATGAAATTCTCTGTAGGAGAGCCTTTCAATCACAGCTTATCCTATCTTCTCTCTGACCATGAGCAGTGAGAAGAGTAGAAGAGAGTGGAGAGAGATAGAGGTGCAGCTGACTCAGAGGTCAGTGAACTATGGTAAAGGGTAGTGACCTGTCAGCAAATTCTACTGTTAGCAGTGATGAAGCAAGTCTACTAGACCAGGCAGACCCATAGGATTGAGAATTCTTCTGTTTGATGTGAACAGAGGATCCAGGCTTATATGTGATTACAGGGATAAATAAAAATTAAGTATAAACATTCTGAGTCTGTTTATTGAGATTCCAGTAAAACCCATGTCATATCAAAGAGTCTCACAGATTGATTAAAGCACAATATAAAGCTAGTACACTACCAAAGTTGACTTGAATTTCACTGAGATGTAATTACTTCTTTCCTTCTCAGAAGGAAAGTCCCTGAGGGATGAGGAAATCCTGCAGCACCTCCCTGTTGGCACAACTGCTACCTTATACTTTAAAGATTTAGGGCCACAGATAGGATGGACTACGGTGAGCTATGCTTCAAGTCTGAGCCATTTTAATGGCTGTTTTTCCATAATTAATCCTTGCATCACTTTTTCTCTCTCTCCAATATTTCTGCATGATGTCTGCTTTGATAATGAATGCATGCAATGAATCCTCATTGCTTCAGTTCATTTAAGCACGGAAAGCAGTAACAGATACACTGAATGCCTAGCTCCCTGGGCAGCAGCAGTGGAAAACTTGCCGTAAGGTAGGTTGGCTCTACAGAAATAATGTGCAGATTCTCAAATAGATTTAGATGTCTACTGCAAAATCAGTAGGATCTGGTGATGTGTAAATGCCTGTGGGGATCTGCTTCACAGGACCTGTGTAACTCCTGACAAAGATTAGGATTATACACCTAGGAATTTGTCCTGCAAAGGGGAATGTGAGCAGCTTCACATGTCAGTATTTGAAGTGACTTCAGCAAGAAAATGCACAAAAGTAAGGTCAGTTAGCTGTCTGCACATGACTGCATCCCAGGCTAAGGACACCTGATAATTTCTGCAATATTAGCAGCCACCCACAAAGACCTTGCATATTTACTGTCTTAGCTGAAATGCAAATTCTATCACAACTCACTTGGCAGGCAACACAGCACTGCTGTTTTCGCAGTGAGGTGACCAATGACCCTTCCAGCTCTTTAGAAGGTCCTTGCTGCACATATTACACTGGTTCCAATAAAACAGCACAACACTGAAGGGAAAATTACCCCATAATTTCAAGCCATATTTAGCATTTCTTAGCTATGAGACATTAATAAAATCTTGTGTTGATGACAAATAGCAAAGACAACATGGATAGGAGGTAAAATAAAAAAAGTCAAATGTTCTGCAAGACTGAATCTTAACATCATTACTTGGATGCAATGCTGACAAATCAAGCTGCTATTATACAGCAAAAAACCCAGGAAGGCAGGCAAAAGCTTCTAATGGCAGTGTAGACTCCTAGACACATGTGCATTAATATATACCAAAATATCACAGTGCGGAGTAACACCAGACTTCTGCCATTCCATAATCTTTCTTTCACATTCTGCTTTCCTTGCCCTTCAAGCTACTTCATTCAAGCATAACCCAAGAAATACTTCAGTATTATCAAATCAAAAAGATGAACTTACCTACAACCAAGTCTGATATTCACCACAGAAAATGTTGTTTGTTACAGAAGTCAATAACACAACTTTTCTGAGTATCAGAAAGACTTTAAACACATTAAAAAACAGTGATTGGGTTTTTTTGTTTTGTTGTTTGGGGGTTTTTTTTTTGTTGTTTGTGGGGTCTTTTGTTTGTTTGAGGTGGGTTTTTTTGACAGAAGAACAATCAATTTCCATTCTTTCTCCATAAATGAGGTATGAAGCTACCTCCCTCACTTCTAGAAGTGTGAAAAATTCAACTTTTAATGTTTGATCCAAAGTTAACTTCAATTTAAAGTGATGTTCTGAAGAAATGTACACCCATCTGACATGAAATCAGGTTAGATAATAGCTTCTTTGGTTTAATCTCTCCTTTTTTTCCCCTTTCCTTTTATTTTCCTCTTTGTGATCAAATTAAAGATTGTTTGAACATTGAATAAAATTATTGTTTCCCAGGACAACTGCTATGCTAACTGTTCACACAGTTACTGTGAACACTGACAAGCTGTGTTTCCAGTTTAAACAAAATTCATTCAGTAGAAGCAGAACTCCTTTGTCAAGACAAAATCTTCACCAAATTTTGTTTTAAACTCAAAGCAAAGCAACAGTTTTTGAGTGCAAGAGAAGGCTGAGAGCTGCATAAATGTAATCTTGCATGCATGTTTGTCATGATCTCTGGGCTGCCATTATTAGATTTTCATACCCATACTGTGTCTGCTGCACTGGCAATGGCTGTTTGAAGGCACCTGAGGTAAATCATTGCTAAATATTTCCATGCATGTCTACCAGTTTCATAGCCCAAGCCCAAACCTGCTATTCCCTCCCTGCCTCTCGGAATGCCATCCTGGGTCAGTGAGGTGTTTATCCCTCTGCATTATTTATCTCAAAGAAACCAAAGCAAAACTGTCATCTAATTCAGCTGTCTAATTATTTTCTCTCTTTTTGCAGGTATTTTTGATAGAATATTCAGGTCCATTGTGCATCTATTTTCTGTTTTATTTCCGCATGACTTTTGTCTATGGACTGGATGAGAGGTTTACATCAAGTTCGCACCCAGTAGTTAAGTAAGTCCATTTGCAGGCTTGAGTAGTATTTCTTGTTAGCATTGTAGTCTTATTCCAAATGTCTTGCCCCACTTGGTTTTTTAAGCACTCTTAAATGCTTTTGTCTTGCTGTTTCTAGCTTGGCATGTATCTGCCATTCTTTCCACTACATCAAAAGATTGATTGAAACAGTATTTGTTCATCGGTTCTCCCGTGGGACTATGCCACTGAGGAATATTGTGAAGGTAAATTGTGTCAGAATCTATCCATAGCCCCCCCAGTCCAACCTATGCAGCCTCTGCAGCACAGATGTTTTGGTGTGGCTTTTGTAGCAATGCACAGCAAATCTCACCCATACAGCTGTAGTTCCTTCAGAAGATTACTTAATGTCACTATTATATAACCCACATGTTGCTACTCTGTTATTAATATGATAGGCGTTTCATTATCTTTTAGAACTTTAAACCTTCAGCATATCCTTCCTTTTCACTCCAGTGAAACACACTTGGGTGTGAAGGTTTTAGTAGCAATGTTCAGTTTTAAGGTAGCACAGCCAAGCACATTGTTGGGAGGGTTGTTTTGTTAAAGAAAAAAAAATCTATTTTTTGTAACAGTCATTTTACATCTTCTTTGCCCCCAACACTCTCTTTGCTGCTAAGCAACTGTTGATTTACCTTAGACCCAGCACAAAGCAGTTTGGTTGTGCTGCATTTTCTTCTCTGCTGGAGCGTCCCCTGATGTTCTGAGTGCTGCTGTGGCACAGGGCAGCTGTTGGGGTGCAGAGGCCCTGCTTCCTAGGAGTCTGTGAAGTAACACAGTGACTGCACAGTTATGAATAAACTGTAGTTACTTTACAAATGTTTGCAACAGGGTACACACGGGTAATCAAAAAACACACCTTATACTCAGGAAACCAAGAAATTATAATCTCACCTGGAAAAGCATATCGTGTTAGCATTTGGATATTCAACATTTGGCATTTAGATAGTCCCTTGGAATTTGAGTTACAGTAGTGATACTCCTACCAGCTGGAGCTCTACCTTGTGGCTAACTCCTTACAGCTGTTCAGTGGCTCAGGTGATAGCTTCATGCTTTTGAAATGGAAGGAGGCTCTGTGGCCCTCTGAAAGAATCCTCCTTAGCAATTTACTGTGCTTCCTGCAGCAAGACTGCAGGTGGTGTTAAAAGGGTAGCAGATCTCTTGTGCTTGACACAACAGTAGCTAATGCATGCTGAACAGCAGATGAATGAGCAACTTTACCTTGAAAAAAATATCTGTTCAGTGTGATAAATCCTCTTTTTCTCACTGCCATCTCTGACAGCTACTTGTTCCTTTCAGACCATACAAAGTGTTGTTGCTAAAATTGCAATTTGTGCCAGTCATTCTGATCACTTCCTCTTTTCCATCTTCTCAGGTTGGTGGCACTTGCTTTCACCTGTAAAGTTGCTCACAGTTCTTATTCTACCTGCTTAGCAATGCTTGGGTTCGATTTGCTTTTATAATTTCTGACTTTGGCGGTGTTACTCCAAAATTGTGCCAGTGAGAAAAATATCACATCCTCTTCCCTTTTTTCTCCCACATGCAAATGGTAGACAAACAGATATAAGCAGCTTATTTCCTAAGTGCAATGGAATGCTACCTTTACAGGAGACACTTCAGTCTCAATAAGCAGAGATCTGAGACAGGAATTGATGAGATTTGCACTTTTCATCCTTTGTTTACCAAATGGAAATAGGAATAAATTATGCCCCACAATGAAGCAGTTCATGCTACATAATAAGACACTATAATTCTTTCTAAGATATGTGATTTTTCTAGGCATTGGAAAAGTAGAATACCTGATTTATCTGGGCTTAGTAAACAACTGGCTCAGGATGAATAAGACAGAGATTAATACAAACATTTTGTGTTGATAAGGGAACTAATTTAAGGAAAGATGGTTATGGTGGTGTCAGAAAAGTATCTGCCAGACATTTAATGATAGGGAGGGTACCAGTGGAATTCCTCAAAGATTAGTCTCATGACTAGTCTTACTGAACATTTTTGTGCGTAGAAAGAAGGGATATCATTGCTTTCTAGAAACACCTGAGGAAAGAAAACACCAGACCAAAATAAATACCATGGGAACCTGAAGACAATATAACAAGACAAACAGAAGGATACATGCAAGTCATAAACATAGGCAGGACATTAAGAAATAGAGATTGTCAATTGCAGTAGAGAAGACAAAAATCCTAACCATAACTTTGTGAATTTAGGAATAATTTATTTATGGGATTCCTACAATATCTGTACTTGATCCACAACATTAGCTTGTTGTAAAGCTTTATTATTCACCTGGAATATGAAAGATTCACAGAAACTCTTTCTTTCTGCATGTATTCTGCTGTTCCTATCTGAACCTCACTGGAGGCCTCATGAGCAATAAGGCTTCTAGTGGCCACTGCACATTTGTAGTGTCACTGCTGAGGTCCTTGGCAGTGGTAGACCCCACGCATCTTAAAGCTCCTTTTCTTATATCTGAGGAATACTCTTGCAGTAAATCATGCTCTTTGGCTGAGTAGTACTTGTTCAGTTTAATTGCAACATGTATTATTGGGGGCCAAGCCATGATAATTTATTAATTTAATTTTACTTCACTGAAATTCACTGCCATATTTTCCATCCTGTGCCAAGCCCTGAAGTTATGGAAGGGTTTTTCTTAAGATTTTCCAAGACTGCAAGAAACTGTTTTCACCTAAGTTTGTGCAGCAGTTAGTACGTTGTAAGTGATGATTGAAGAATGTAGTGCTAGGAAGGAAGCAGCAGTTTATGGATAGGACACTAACTAGATTGACCTTCACTAGAGTCACTCCTCTGGCTTTGCTGCATTCCCTGGGGAAAAAGAAGTCATCACAGGGAAGTTACTTAATTTCTCTGCACTGTTGTCCTACCGGATCTGTAATTATAGGCTAATAATTAGCTCTTTCTCATCAGTTATCTATTAATATATAATCTCAGAGCAAGAACATACTATGTGCTTGTATTACAGCATATCCCAAAGGGTATCCATTTTGTCTAAGGTCTCTGGGCACTTCAGTGCTTCATTTAACTCTGAAAAGAGACTGGAAATGCAACTGAATGTTTGTTACAACTGTTTCCAGCAGATGAGTGGGCTTACCCCTCATCAGAATTTTCAGAAAAATGCACCATCAGACACTGCAGTCAACTAGGTCAGGTTGCAGATGCTGAGGTAAATGCTCTTCCATTTCATTCTTGCTAGAAATTCTGGTGTATACAGGGGGAAGAGACTGAAAAATTCAAAGCAAAAAAAAAAGCTAAACCAGTCAAAACAGTAAAAAATGCAGCCTTGGGTAAGAATTTTGACTTCATGAGCAGGAAAGAAAGGCTGTGAAGGAGAAAGCAGGAACATCTAGAAATGTCTAAGGTATAGGAACCTATTGGAAGGCTAAGAAAAGAGCATCATCAGAGTAAGAAGATCATTGTTCTACTCAAGAGTGAAAATAGGATGGAAAGGTAAGGCAAAGGAAAAGAACAGGAGAAGTGGTGAAAGGAAGATAAAGAGCTCAGTTTTGATCTTGCTGAAGACCAGGTGATAAACAAACATGTCCTAAAACATTAAAAACTGAGGCATTAGGTTTGGTAAAAGAAGAAGACTCAACTGATGAGAGGCAAATTTATGAGTTGTTGATGAGGGTTAAAGTCTGTCTGCAAGAGAATAATGCCTAGAGGTTAGAGCACAGAGGAAGAAGAGGAATGGGCCAAGAAAGGGCCTCCTTCCTACCTACATATATGTAAAAGGGAGAAGATAACCTGTCACCAAGATCCTGAAGCAGCAATGAGTCTGAGGAAGAAACACACTGTAGGCAGGGCCAAGGAAACCAAACAAGAGGTAAAAATTGGGATTGTAAGTAGTTTTTTTCAAGGATGAAGCCTGTGCACAAGCTCTGAGATTGGTCAGGAATGAGTCAATGGAGCCATTAGTTACAGCTATGTTATCAGTGTTCAGAGAATGGAGGCTGGATCACAGAAAGACAAGAACAGCAGCAAAAGGGACAAACTAAAGACCATGCAGTGAAAGTGCAGAGGAAAGCATCAGGTATGATGACTTTAGGTAGGAAAAGTTAAAGCATGGGAAAGAAAGAAAGAAAACTAATGGAGTGAAGGAGGGGATAACAGGTAAGAGATTGGGCAGTACAAATAAGCAGGGAAGAGAGCACAGTGCCTAAATCTGGTTTTATAGAGTCAGCAAAACAAATCTGTCTTTAACATACAGTCTGTATGCACTTCAACTTTGCCCAATGGGTTGCCAGACAAAATAAATTTGTTTTCAATAGTATGATCATACCTTCTAAAATTGTTTATAAATTTAAGAGCTCCAAGATATTTGAGAGGAAACCTTACTCTATGAGCACTACTTCCTTTCTGTTATTTCCTGTTATCTACTCCCACCTTACCACACTTAGTATTGAAATTTTTGTTGTATTACAGCAAGTTGAAGGATTAGCCCAATTCATTGTCATCAACAGTCCTTGCAGTGAATACTGGCCTAGAGGATTGTACTAAAACAACGAAAAATTGCCTGTTTTTCAGAACTGCTTGTATTATTGGGGATTTGCAGCTTGGCTTGCTTATTACATCAATCATCCTCTTTACACTCCTCCTTGTAAGTAGCAACACAACCCTCAATGACTTAAGTACTTATGTGTTTGCATACTACTACTAATCCCATGTAAATTTCTTTTTTAATAGCTTATGGGAAAAAACAGATAAATTTTGCTGTGATCATGTTTCTGGTAGGTTTGTTGCTCTTTCTATAAAATGCTAAAATGTGTCTCTTTATTTCTTCTGTTGTATAAGTGGAGGAGTGAGTAGGATAAGCAGATACATAATACTTGGACATTTGGGATGGACTACTAAAGCTGACCACTTGCTTGCAGAACAGATAAATCAGTCCATTTTTTAATGTGATTTTGTACACAGGGGAATATTTTGATTCAGTATCCATTCCAAGACTAGGATATTTATCCATTGGGATGATCTCTCACAATCTTTAAAAGAAAGGTGGAACTACGAGTTTGTGACACTGTGTTTAAAAGCCAGTGAGTTTGTTTTGTGAACTGTTGATTGTAAAGGATCACAGCAGGTCATAAAACTCAGAGAACTGGCCAACTAAGAAAGCATGTTGCTGATAATTTCCAGGGATAGAGGTGCATTTTCCTGAGCTTCAGAAGCATTTTACAGCTTTCCTTATGAATCAAAATTCTACAATCACTGTTCATTCTCACAGTTCCTAGAAGCTTTTCATACACGCAGAAGCAATGTTACTGTAGCCAAAAAGATGTACCCATTTTCCCCATGTATGTGTAACTTGTTTAGAACATCAGCTGTTCACTCGCTTTGACAAACTAATCATCTGTGACTACAGGATCTCAAAGCAGCTTCCCAGTATGAAAATTCTTTGAGGTCATAATCTATTCACATTTTATAGAGAGATTCCTTACCTGAAAGCACAGAACTGGGAATAAAATGCAGGAGCTCTGACCACTAGTCATTTGCTTTAATAGTTATGCATTGCAGACACTGGAGAGTGTCCATAATCACATCAATGGCTCATTTCAATATACTTCCTTCATAATTGATTGGGGAAGCATTATTTAAAACCAGTGGAGGAAGCTAGGTCAATTATATTTCATGACTCATATAATTTATACTCTAGAGAAGAAAACTTACTTAGAGTCCAACCCATATCTTCCTTGGGATTTTAATAACTTTTGAGAAACCAAAGCTATGCAAATCCATTTATAGGTGTTTTTAAAGACATAAGAACAACAAAAAGCAAGTATCTCCTGGGTTTACTTTTATCCCCTTTGGTTTATTTAGATCTCATGGGGATTATATGAGTAGTAAATTTGATCTTTTGGACACAGAGTCCACATTTTCTGGAAAACACCATAAGTATATAACAGAGTATAATACAGACTCATGTTTGAATGAAGATACTCCATCCTCCTGGCAGGCAGCAATCACAGTTAAGGTTATTAATTATGTTTACAGTAGATTGTTTTCCTTTTTTAAAAAAAAATACTTTAAAGCACCCCAGGAAATGGCAAAAGGAAGAAAACCAAATAGAAGGGAAGCACATTTTTAACTCTGTCATACTTTTTCTTGCAGCTGTGTGAAGCTGGCAATTTTTCCATTCATGTTGCACTCAGTGACCTCCGGAGAAATGGTAAAAACTGCATGATCATTTTTCACTTATGCACAGCCATTCAGTACTTCTTCAGGTACTCTGCCTCATGAAAGACCTGATCCTGGGGGGTGATGATACCTGTCAGATGTTTGCCTTGGGATCACAGGTTGCTCAGCACTGTAAAGATTGGATTCTGATGAGATAGTGCGAGGAATCCAACACAAGAATGTTGAACAACACTTCTTATTTTAGTGTAATGTTTATTGGTAAGGGTCAGGTTGTGTTGGGGGGAGCAGTTATATTGGTTATGCTGGCAGTGCAAAAGAAAACTACTAGTACAAGCTGTGTTTTAGTGAGCTAGGGAAAGTAATCTCACTGGCTTCTATAGGGGCACAAGGTCTCTGTGCAGGTCAGGCATGAGCCAAACATCTTGCAGTGATCAACTATGGCTGCTAAAATCCCATTCTGCAACAATCTGAGAAAACCTTTAACTTCTAAATTTAAAACTTGAGGTACCTCTTCTTACAGGAGTAACTGTGATCAAAGGCATAAGTAGATGACTTTCTAATGCCCAGAACATTTCCTTACAGTTATCCTATTCCTTCTCATGAGTCCAGAGGTCATCCTTTCGTCCCATATCCTGCTTGTCCCTGTCACAATCAAGAGACACAGGAGTAGGCAGAGTTGGGTTGTCTTTATAGGAAACAATGTATTTAGGAGTATGAATATTTTGTGATTTGTTTTCTAATCTATAGGATCCAAAACCCGTAAGATCCCATATCCAACAAAGAATCCTTTCACATGGCTGTTTTTCTTTGTATCTTGCCCTAACTATACATATGAGGTATGTATTTTCAAACAAGATGTTCAGATTTTAGTTTTGCTGAATATATATTCATTTCGTTTGGGATGTTAAACATGGAAGAAACCTCTGAAACAGTTCAGCTCAATGCATTTTCCCTCCTCCCCTAAAGCCCATCAAATCAGATTGTGGATAGAAACTTGTCTGCTCTTCCTCCCCTCGAGACAGTGCTGGTGGGGCTAACCTTAGACAGCCCTGACTCTGGGCTTATGCTTCAGTGTGGCTGCTAGACAAGACAGATGCACTAGAAAGCAGTGCAAATTCTGCAGCCAGGAACAGGGAGATTGCCACTGTTGCAATGAGGAGATGGGGATGTCTGGTGGATTTATAAAATAAGAGCCAAGAAATATCACAGCAGACAAGAAGATAATGGTCAGACAAATAGAAGATGCTGTGACAGAGAAAATAGGCCCAAATCTTCTTCCACAGTTGCTTGTGTTGGTGGTGACTGCTTTTGAAGTTCAAATCAGTTTATAATTTCATATTCCTTAATCAAGAGCCAAACTCCTGACTCAGTTCAAAACCAGGTAAAATCAGTGCAACTCAGTGTAGCATTCACTTCTGTACAGAAGAACAGCATTAGGTTTTAACTTCAGTGGAGATTAACAGATGTTCGTGAGAACAGCACGTGGCCTCAGACTATAGAGAGTTACCATTCCTAGCACTGATGGAGGTCTGACAAATGCAAATTGGACAGAGAAACAGAAAGGACACTGTTGTATGCTTAAAATTTTGTCATTCTAATAGCTATGGAATCAAACACAAAGGTTTTGTTTGTGATAATTAGACACTGTTCACCTTTTTGGCTAAAGGTTATTAACGCTAGAAATTGATCTGTCTGACCTTGGCTTTTTTATTTACCTATACTAGGACAAGGTTGTTTTTGATCAATAGAGACATAAATGCAAATGCTGTCACCAGAAATATTTTAAATTTCCTTGGCCAAAACAGGTGGGGACCTGGATCAGTTTCACTATCATGACTCAGTGTCTTCCAGGTGAGTAATGTTTTGGTACTTCAGCCTGAAGTGATGTCAGCAACAAGAGTGTGTTCTTAATCTGATAATGAAATGTATCTTTTTCTCCTTTCCTTCCAGTGGGGCTGTTCACCTTGCTTTGCTTCATTCAGATGACAATCTGGGCAAAGGATAAACACTGCACCTATGTACGAGAATTCAAGGATTATCCAAGTCATAGAATGCCAATTATTCCCTTTTTGTTGTAAAAAAAAAGGTTTGATTTGAATAGTGCACAGAACTTCAAGAAGAAAAAGCTCGTAAACCTGCAAAATAAATTAATTAAAGGATTTTGGTGCATGTTGAATCTCCACTGCTAAGGGAAATTGTATGCACTTGAAAGCTACACTTCTTGCATTCAAGAATTCTCAACTCAGAAGCACCTTAAAAAATAAGGCTTCAATGCACAGCTGGTGGTCAGAAGTCTTTGCAGTTCACTGTAACTTGATTGACTTAGATTTTTCTGTACAAGCCTATTTAGATTGATGGATCAGAAATACTGAGAAGTCTGTGCTGAAAACCAACTCCAAATTTAGCAGCAGCATTCTGCAAGACAGAAGTACATTGGAATGAGGACACACCAGCTAACTACTAGAGCTCAGTTTAGCCAGCACGACCAGCTGGCCTGAAGACAGTTGCATGATCTGCCTTCTTTGACTTGAAGAAGAGAGTGTGCTGCCTGGAGGCAGGTGCTTTGTAACAAATAACATAACCAAAGAATATGAATGGTTCCTGGAATAAAGAAATAGGCAATATCTCAAATACCTGATTTGGGTCTAACCCCTAATTTGCTGAAAGAATCTGAAGTAAGAAGTATATGTAGTATTTGTGAATGTAAAATCCTGTGTTGCTGGGGATTTTTGGCTGGTTTTGGTCTTCATTAGTAAGTTGCATACTAGTAAATAAGGTTCAGAAGCAATCTGATCTATGCTATATCTTTGAGATTTGTTTCCATATAACTAGTCCTTATTACACTAAAGGACCTTTTACGTTAGCCTTCTCTGAACAGCTTTTAATACACTTTGTAAATACATGAAGTGACTGCTAGTCCTCAGACTGCTAGCTCCCTTCCTATTTTCAGAGCCAGGGAAAAAAATCAGATTTTGGACTTACTGTGTTTTCTTTTTCACAAGACGTTCAGTGGGACTTAGTTGGGTTTTGTGTAAATCTAGCAAAAAAGAACTATTGAAATCTATTTGAACGACATTTTAAACAAGGTCTTTTAGAATATGAAGAGAATGCATAGATACTGTTTTGTTTCACATTTAGTTTATTTATCTATAATGGATGTATAGAAAGATTTTTGCAACTATTTGTAAGGGTGAAATATGCAATAAATTCTAGACTGTATTTTGAAATCAGTTGAAATAATTATGGCAAAAAGAGAAGGCTACAGCTGGTTGCTGAAGTTTTGTGATATGTTGTACAGTACACTGCAAGAATGTCCTTTTAAAAAAAATCTACATCAATTGAAGAAAAAAAAACTTTTCAAAGCAAAAATACATGACCCAGATTTTATTTCTGCATAACATATCTTAGAGAAGATTTCTTAGAAATTATTAGATCTGATAGATAATTGAAGCAATACATCATTATGAATTTGTTTTCAGTATTGTTTTTTGCACTAGTTTAACTGTGAACCTGGGAAAAGAGCTAAATGTCAAATGATTTCCCACTGAGTGCAGTGTGGAGTACAAGCAGGTTGAAATTTTCCTTCAGAGGAGAGAGAAAGCACATACCCTGCTCACACTTTACACCCACTTAATGTTCAGTCTCACAAGAAAGAAGAAAAATTTCATCTTGTTTAGTAACAAAAACATCTTTTCAGGTCTTCATGAGAAAACAAAACTTTTGGCAGATTTGGACGTACTCTCTTTTTAATCTCCATTTTGACATTTTGCCTCTGTTTGAGACAACTTGAAGATGAGTGTGAGATCATTTTAATTAATTTTTTTTAAAGCAAGTTTCTTGTCTGGGTCTGAGATCTGAATTAATTCTTTCCATTCTTGCTGAGACAACCGTCTGTTTTCACTGGCAGCCTGGTGAGACAGTGAAGCAATCTCCCAGCACTCACCCCATCAGCCAGCACTGATGTTCTGACCTTGGTAGTCCTGTGCACTCAGCATGGCAGGAATCCATGTCTAAGCTGGGCAATGCTTTCTGCCTTGGGACCTGTGCTGGCTGGTAGCATTTGACATAAGAGTTAAACAAGAAAAACCTACCAGCCTGAAAGTACCAGCTAGAGAAACTGTCATTAATGCTTTTTATATGTCAACAAGGAGGAATGAGACTTCTTGTATCTTATAATGAACTTTATGTTAGGGCAAGATTTTATTCTATAGCAAGGACCTACCTTTCCTTTGACACTGTGAGCATGTAGTGTTCTTGGTAGAGCAGTAGAAGTTGACTGTTGCTGGGGCTGCTGTTGAGAGCACAGGTGCTCAGAAAAGTGAAAAAAAATCAGTGTACCACTGAATGTGGGAACCTTTGTTTTACCCTTGTTCTGCTCTGGTATGGCACATCTTTGCACTGTGCACACACTAAGCACTAGTGACTGCAGGAGGAGTCTATGCAACTGCCTGCTTATGCCCAGCAGGGCACACCTTTGCTTCTCGGCTGGCTCCAGCTGCACGGGGGTGCAAAGGAATTTCCTCATCCTCCATCTGCTGTTTAGCAAAGTTCACAAAAACCTGTGTGAGAAAAGCAGAAAATGTCACCATCTCATCAACCGAGATGAGTTAGTCGAATGTCTCTGTACATTTGCATCCTCTTGACCCCTCTGCAGGAAAGAGACAGAAAGGGGAATCCATGGACATCAAATGAACCAAGACACTGTGTTATCAGCCAGAATCATCAATTCCTTCTTTATTTTGATAAACCTCCCTGCAACTTTCTTCCTTGGAGCTTTCTTCCTTTGGATGTATTTGCTTGTAACTAAAATCCTATTTTTTAAGGAGGAGTTGAGTTCAGCAAGGTTTGCATGGCTTGCACAGTGTAAGCAAGTTTGTTTGTGAAAGGAGACAGAATATTTTAGTAGGAAGATGAAAGGAGCCAGGAATGTCTCTCTAGCAAGCCCATCAAAGCCACTTTTGCACATGTGGACCCTCAGTTACTTAGGAAAGCAGGCAGATGGAGCCAATACCCTCTAGCAACTGGGTGCTGCCAAAGTCCCAGTGGACTTTCCAGGTTCTGTGTCTAATTGCTCGTCACAGTATCTCTGACACAACACAGTCCAAATCTATTTTTAAAAAAAAAGTTATTCTCAGCTCAGCCTCATTCTGAACGGCTGACCATGCTCAGACTGCTGCTCCTGAAGGAATGGGTTGTGTGAATTTGGTCATCTGGAAAATGCTGTCTTACCAGCTTTCGAATGGCACCTATTTACACAGGGAATTAGTTGCAAATCTATACTGATCCACACTTCTTGATGAGAGCCCTGGGAATTTTGCCCGAGAAAGAGGTACAAGATAATTCTCTGAACAGTTTGGTCCTTCAGTTGTTTGGATACATCCCCATTGTGTTGCCTAATTCTCACCAGAAAAACTTTCTTATGGATGTTTTACTTTTTACTCACCTGATCTAAAGTTGTTTGAGACACAGAATATTCTTCAATATGCAAGTTTTCCTTATTGGAGATTATTAACCGAAAAATCTTAGCCAGGGAGGAGGAGCAAATCTGATACTGCAGCATGTTGTAGTGTTTTTCTCTCTGTAAACTCCCTGGGAAGTTCATGCGTATGAATTGCTCAGCAGGAGTAGGATCTGGAGGCAGCCCAGACTTCGGAGCTTTGATTTTCAGAGTGACAATGTAGCCGTCTCCAAACCTGGGAAGCACATGATGATTTAGGAATTGGATGAAGAGATTGTTTCATTATTCACGATGGAAATTCATTTTCTGCAGCTATGAAAACATTAACAGTATCTGAAAGATACTGCAAAGATCTAGCTTTGAAGGAAATCCTGTATTTGCCCTACAGGAGTGATGTGTAGCGTAAGAGTTGAAATGAGATCTGCTCAGATTGTCTAGGATACACAGAGTTGCACACAGAAATGGGTCTGGTTAAACATTGAATTTCTGTATTAAGAATGGTACATGTCACATATACTAGATTTTCCCATTAAAAACACCACAGAAATGTTCCACTTACTTGTATTTTAGCTCCTGAATTGTGCCTAGGCATTTGAAGGTACCTTTAACCATGATGGCTAAACGAGTACAGAGGGCTTCACATTCTTCCATACTTTCAAAACAGAGAAGAGGTATTTGAGATAAAAGCCAGCAGATGAACTTTAGCTACTCTTGGATTCTGAATTCTAACTCTTTTTACCTGTGTGAGGTTAGAACCACTGCTCTCCCATCTCTGAGCACACCAACAATGGAGTCCCACAGGAGGCGCCGGGACTGAGGGTCCATTCCCGTAGTCGGTTCGTCCTGTAAGGGAAATATTAGGACAATAGAAATCTGAGAAGCAGATGAAAAAGAGAATTTAGGATCCAGTCATCGTTTCAACCTTAGCATATAATTGCTTCTCTACTGAAATCTGTGCCTTGAAAAAACACATATACCTTGAGCAAGTACGAGTGAATGGATACCAATGGACTTCTTGGCACAAAGCAATAAGGAAACAAGTACAAGAACCTGCAGGTAAGAATACAATGCTGTCTGTGTAGGGCACAACTGCAGGGAAGGGAATGCAGTGACCATTATGACAAAGGTAAACCCTAGTCTAGCATCTTGGATATCTACCTAAGACAGAGGTGGACACTTCAAATAAAATCTTCCATTTCTGAGCAACAATGCTTGTAAGAGGAGAATTACTTACATGAACATACAGGACATTTTTCAATTCAAGGAACTAGTGAAGTCACCCTGATTTACATCAGCTAAGGGTCTGGTCTTGCATAAATCAGTTAACCCAGTTAGTAACAAAGAATGTGAAAAAAAATCCAGGATAGAAAATTTCTATTGAACATTTTGTCTTAAGAAATTCTGAGAAAATATTATATCTCGCTGTTTACTACATACAGGCAGAATACATGTAAAGGCATTATTAAATAGCATAAGGGACCATGCTACTAAAATTTTATTAAATATTTATTTTTAGCCTACAAATTAAGGTGGTACAGTATAATCTAAGTAAAGAATTTTGGTAGTAATTTCATATACTATTTCCCTTTAGATATGCAATGATCTGATATTTTATAAGAACTACATTTCAGTGTTTATATAGCTTAGTCTAAATTTGTATGATTTATTCCAAAGATATTAAAGGCTGCAAAAGAGTAGCTTTCTTCCTGTTCTGCTAGATAAAGCAGCAAGGTATATGTTGGAAGATCGTATTTTACATGAGTGACTACGCTTTGACAAGAAAAGGCAGACTGAAACCAAACATGGATTTAAATTCAGATTTATAGAAAATAAATATA